TTTTATATCAAAATAGATAGGTTATTCTACTAGACACATGTAAAACACGCGGCTGAAGGGAAAACCTTTTTTTCTGCCACAGGAATGAGTTGAACTGAAAATTTTTTATGGATCCATAGCCCTAACATTCAGCTTTCAGGATATATGCATTTCAATTTTTAACTCTATCGTTCTTCTGACACGAAAAAGCGATGTTCTCAATAACGGCAGAAAAATAAGCGAAAATTGAAACCTATCTCGGCCACTTAAAGTATTTGGATCAAAATTTTTTGCCATTAAATTTGCCGTTGGCTAGTCTATATAAGACACTATTTGAATGTTGAAAAATCTCGCTTTCGTCTTTTTTCCTAATTTCCATGTGGTTGCCCACTGTGACGAGGTTTGTCGAAAAATCGGCTACAGCCATTTTGTAGAGCTCGATGAATTCTACCTATTTTGATAACAATTGGGAAAAGAATTTCGGACAGATTTCGAGTAGGGGTGGCACATTACTGTTACTTTTCGGAGAATCCGAATATTGTACATAGTCCTATTACTACCAATAACAGTAATACTTTTCAGTTTTACTGTTGCTGGTAACACCCTAGTCGAGACTCTCCCCAAAGTCTCCCTACAACTCCCCCTAAATTTAACGGGGATCTCGTGGACCCGCGTTACGATTGGTGGACTTTTAAGGGGTCTCCAGCAAATCCACCAAGCTTCCTAGCAAATCATCATGGCGATGTACCACAATCCTGGTGGATCACCCGGGAGTAAGGGAGCTTAGCAACAGGACTAAGAATAACACATTAGACTCGTACGGTTTTATTATATATAGTACCCAAGGTTGAGGTACCATCACTGGTATCAATGTAACATATATCAGATAACAAAGGCCGAGACATTAGTGGCAACTAACTAGAAGAAAATTCGTAAAATTTTATCAGAGAACTGTATTATATTTATATGTTATCTATCTGCAAAAAAAGGTGAATAAGGAGTTGACAGGGGAATGTCAACTGGGGTGATAAAAAGCAACGCTCCTGGTGATCCTAAGGGGATCCTCATAGGATCACCGGTGGAGGTTCATCGACGTGGAACTCACTGGTGAGTTCCCAGGGTATTTTCTCGTGATCACCAGAGCATTTTTCTGAAAATGGTGGACTCTCCGCGAGAGTTGATGGGGGTGTCTCGAGTAGGGTAGAAATGTTCATCAAATTTGTACCAGCAACAGTAAAACTGAAAAGTATTACTGTTACTGGTAATAGGAATATATGCAATATTTGGATTACTCGGAAAAGTAACAATAATGTGCCACCCCTAATTTCGAGATATATGAGCTCAAACTTTCCAATTTTTTTTTCACTAAATTCATTACCGTTCAAAAGCTCCGGTAAGTGTCGGACTAATTCTTTCGCCATTTTACTCAGCTTTTGTGTCTCTATATTTTCATCTACGGTAGTCAAGGATTTTATTTGGTTTTGAGAGGAAAATCGTAAGGGTGCCCCTAAAACTTTGGACCTCTGGAAAATAATGTTCCACATGTTTTTTGAAAAACGAGCCTAATGTTCTATGGCTAAATTTTTATGCTCTAAACAATGCTGATATTGAAATCTTCGTGGCTCGGAGGTCATGTAGTTCTGGGCGGAGTTATATGGAAGCACCCTGAACCAAAAATTACAGAATTTTTGTCACCTTCATTCCTTATTCTATGACTTATTAAGATAAGCAGAATTGTAGTACTTGATGGGCTCTACAAAATTAAATTAGCAATGTTTTCAGTGTTTTTTTAAGTTTTTTAGCAATATAAATTAAAAAACATATCAAAAGCATCATTAAGAAGAAAAAAAGTTGATTTAGAATCCGGACAAGTGCTTTTTCGTACGCAGCACACTCGATAACACCGAAGATTTTCAATTTTTGCCCAGAGATACTACTAAATTTTAGGAAATTTTTTTTTCTCCATTTTGTTTGAAAATTTTTCCTAAACTTTTGGCAGTACCCCTTATAAAAAATAGAAAAGCTTCGGTGCTTTGCTGATTATAAAAAAGCACTTTTTTCCGACTCTAAATGATGATATGTCACGATAATTGAGCATAATCGTAGCTGGTTTTTAGCAAGAACTATCTAAAAAAAGCATTGAAAACACTCAACTAACCACAGCAAGTAAGTGTTTATGATATGATTCTGGAAAGAAAATTTAGTTCAAACATGGATCTGTTCTTGACATGCGCGAAGATTATATAAGCCGTTATGAAAAGACAAAGAAATGCTAAAGTGTCGTATTTCATTTGATTTCCCGTTCTCCTTAAACTCAGATTTTGTATTTCAGTAAATATATAAGTAGTGGAATCCAGGAGTCTTTTAAGGGAGGGGCTCAACATTTTTTAGGAAGAATTAGAGCAAAAGAAGATTAAACAAACACATGTCGCTGATAGCTGATATTTTATTCTATTCTTTCCAGTACAAGTTAACTTTCTAAGGGGGATGCCTGTGCTCCCTAGCCCCCCCCCCTTGGCTACGCCACTGGTGGAATCTATTACTAGATGATGATTAAGGAAGGTCATTGTTTGATTATTATTTATTGATGTTTCGAGGACGACGTTCTCTTCATCCGAATAAAGTAAAAATGAAAATGTACAACTGTGAAATTCCATTTTATACAAACACAGATGTGTGTTATCTCTATTCATTATCTTTTCCATTTTGATATTGGGATGAATAATGAAAATGTTTTCAGTTATAGTTACAGGTTCATTATTCCTTATATGTTTTCAAGTTGACAAGGTAGCTACCATTCATATTCCAACGGCCGACTGGGATATTAAGACTCCTCTCACTCAGAAATCTATTTTCAACACGGAGCGTCCGATCTCGACGAAATTCCCAGTAAATGTTACTCACATCAAAATTAGATTACTGTAGAATTTTAAGGTTTGTATCTCGCGTTTTCTAGAGTCATTCATAAAACAATGTATAAGGTTCTACTAGGAAAAATGAATAAAATGCGATCGAATCAGCTTTTTGGATCGATACTTAACGATGATTAAAAAGTTTCAGGTTCTGGCAGTCCATAATTAAGTTTTGAAACACTAGGTATTAGATTGTGCAACCAGTGCGCTGCCAAGGACTATACGAATGAGTTTTGCTAAATTCAACAGATCGAAAAATTTCAAACAAAAAAGGTTATCCTGTTTCGGCAAGAAAGCTAGTGCAGTGCAGGATACTATCGAAAACTATTGAATTTAACTTTTATGGTTTACTTTACTTTTTATTTCTCACTGATGAAGCCATCAGTGAGAAATTATCCCTTCACTGTTTCGATTAATTAAAGACAACGGAGAAAAAACGGGAATTAAAAATAGATCAGTTGTATATTGTCGTTGCTGAAACGAAAGTCTTATTAGATACTGGATTGCTAAGTATCTGCAGACAATGTCTCACGTTATCAATGTACCTATATATTTTGCAAAAAAGCAAAAAAACGCAAAAATAGGACATACGAGAAAAAAAACACATCACAACCATGAAAGATAGAAAAAACACAAAAATCGTTATTACTCGGAATCAAATAAATATGAAAAAACAACAGCACTCTCACAACAAATAACGTGGAGCTAAAAATGATCTAATTAAGAGAAAATACATACACTTTTACTTTATAATTTTGTAGAAAATACGGCACACAATAACAGGAATTACAAAAGAAAGACACTGTGTGGATACGGTTATTTTTTTACGGATAACAAGATACAACATTTATGTCACAGTACCGTAAAAACATTCGTCAAGCTAAGTAAGATATTACAAAACCTCGCCCGTGTACATATATATACATTATAATTTAGAGATCTATAGAGAAAAACAATACACCACAGAATTCTAAATTACAATATAAATTGAAAGTAGAAAAAAATTATGATAAAATATTTTTAATCGATAGAAAAACGGGATCTCAGTTTCCACATCGACGTTTATAATTAACCGGTTTTAGTAGAAAATCGTTCAACTCGTTATGCATAAAAAACGAAAGTAAACACGTCAATCTCAGTCAGACCGAGAAAAAAATATTGGTCGAAGACAGACGTTAAAATGGTACGCTCAGCTTAACGAAAAGGTTCAGATAAAAGTAATACATCTATAAGAATATTACAATATGTAACTTAATAAGAGAGAATGAGTATCAAAGATAGATTATTTGTGTTGAAAAGTCCATATACACATACATATATTATATACAATAATAAACATACCTACAAAGTCTGAATTTTTGTGCAAAGAGATATATAGACGAATGTATCAAAAAAGAACAAACAAATAGACAAGAGGTACACATGTACATACAGTATGTGAGTGCATGTGTATATATAATGTAGATATACACAAACACATCATCTTTCACGAATAAATCAAGAGAGAAATGTGAAAGACATCGAAAGAGACAAAAAAATTAGTGTTTTATTTGTATTGCATAGTTAGATAGAATGATGGCTAATAAAGTGGAATAAATTCGGATCGACAAGGATGATTATAATTTATTGATGAAGATTGTCGTTATTATGGATGATGAGGACGTTCAATTTGTTGAGCAGCAATAAAATTTGTTATTGCATTTAATAATTGACCATATTATCTGTTTGACCTCCCCATAAATGACGAACAGATTGAATTTTTTCGGATAATGCATGCTGGCTATTAACAGCACATGTAGACGAATTTTCTATATCACTAAGTTGATTGCTATTCACTATATTACCATTCATCATTATTAGTGAATTCTGGGGATCTTTTACTGCTGGTAGTGGTGGTTGTTGTTGTTGTTGTTGTTGTTGTTGTTGTTGTTGTTGTTGTTGTTGTTGTTGTTGTTGCGAAACTGTATTCAATCTCGCGAACATGCAAATCATATTCTAAAGAAAAACCATGTTTAGGTAAGACATGTTTTTTTTTGCGAGAGATTGGCATTCATCATTTCAATTTAGCATAGATATGTTCAAATCTTTCTATTCATGATCTCAATGTAAACAATTAAATTTATGTTCGTTTACCTGATCAAATTGTGGTACATTGTTCACCACTAATGGCGGTTGCAAAGGTACTTTGGTGTACATTTGAAAATTGTTAATATTATTATCTGTCAGCATTCCTGGATTTTGATTAACTATGTTTTCAAGTTGCGGTATCATACTATCTGAACGATACAGAGTTCTAGAAAGATCTTTTCTCTGTTGTTGTAAGGTAAATTCATTTGACATTGAATGACTATTATAAGACGGAAATGCGGTACAATTTAGTGTTGATGTCGGAGTACCGTACCAACTATATGGTGAATGTTTTAATAATCTAGCTCCATTATTATGCATCTGATGGTGATTTATTATTGGTGGTGACTGTTGTGTACGTTTATCGATAAAAGTGAAATCTGTTCTAATTCCATTGTCAGAGGTTTCTAAACCGTTTGCATATGATGCAAGAGCGTCATCAGTTAAACTCTGTTCCATAGATGGTGACAATACGTAACCGGCTGAATGTAGATTAGAATTGTACATGGCACCTGGTAACGGAATCGTTGGTGATGGAGACTGTTGTTGTGATATATAAGAATCGGGTCGATAAGCCGAAAACATGGGTACAGGTGAAAAATTGTTAGAATCACGATCATTCGAGTGCATATGTACCAGTGTATTCGGTGCTGTTGAATACGGCTTAAATTTTGGTTTGAAACCTTAACAAGAGAAGAATGCACAGTTCATTTAATTTAATTTTGTATAATCAAGTAAGAATAATGCAAAAAAGTAAAAGAAAATAACAGAACAAAGAATAGAAAGAATAGAAAAAAACAAACAGTAATTCATACATACCATTATTTACTAGGACATGTTGTACGCCGTCTTTATTGACCAACGGCATTGGTGCTGATGCTATTAAAGTATCGACTAGAGGAGATTGTATGAATGATTGTGCTGATTGTTGACGATAATCTAATTTTGATTTTTCTAAACGTGCCTTCATTATTACACTATCCGTCACAGATACTAAATTTTGATTACGACGCTCAGGATGTTCCCATTTGCATTTCACTCCGTACGTACATTTCTTACCTAATATGATTAATAATACATCTACCAGATAGCAGACAAGAATGTCTAGAACACCTACCATATGGACATAATGGATAATGCACTTCACATTCACCGTCTTCGCCATTTGTAATGGCAACAAGTAACGGTAAAAAGCTAAAAACATAAAGTGATACTCCCTGGTTTGTTCAACAATAAAAAAAACATACTTGTCATGTTGAAACTTATATCTTACAACTCGTTCTTCCAGTATATGTTTGTATATAGTAAAATCAAGTATAACTTCTTTCAATGAAACATTTGTAATTAAATGTCCTTTTGATTTATGCACATATTTCAACATTTCACTAATATGTTGAATACTTTCATGTTTATTTGTTTGTTTAAAATTTCGATTTGTATATACGAGCATATTCTTCTTTTCTAAATCTCTCAATGCCTTTGACTCTAAAAAAATAAATCTACAATCGTTCAACAACAACAGTGTACTAGAACAAGGGAATATATACCAAGAAATTGCAGATTTTGTCGATGATTTTTCAAATGATATGGTAATGCAACATAAACTTTTTTGTGACCATGCGAATGAAGATATTTAATACAGATTTCAATACCCTTCCAAGAAAATATGCCATTTCCATAACTAAAATGATAGATATAATAAATTTTGATGCTAAAGAGTACTCTAAACGTTAGTTTAACGTTTAATTATATAAGATTGAAGAATGGTTGGTTTAATTTCAGTCGAAGTAAGTACACAAATAGTTCAGAATTCACTCAACATCAGACTTTACTTATTTTTAATAACACTATTCAAAACAGAATGTGTCTTCTTCTTCTTACTTGCATGCAATGTCGGCTCCATCTACCACATAAACATCGTGCGGTACAATATGTTGTTGAGTACTATTATTAATACTATGATTAATATTGTTGTTATTTATGTTTTGAGTCCCGATCGCTTGTAGGATAATATTTTCATGACAACTATCAAATCCACCGTTGGATTTCATATTCATGAAAATTGTTCCATTCATATAGTTGTTATTAATTGTATTACTATTTTGATTCGAGTTTGCACTATTACTATTGTTTTTCATTGTGTATGAATTATTGTTCAATGATGAATCGGCTGTTCGTACTAATTCTTCTAAAAATTTTGACATATCCATATCTTTATCATTTTGTTTAATAACATGTTGAATCAAATCATATTCATAACCTAAAACATAAAACAGTTAAACGAGAATAATTAATCAGTAAATGTTTGTTGTTAAATTATTGTAATATACCTAATGATAAACCTTTATTAATTTTTTGAAGAATATCCGAATTTAAATCATCTTGTTTTTGTTGTTTTAATTCAGATTCATTCTTAACTTGTTTGAATGTTGTTGTTGCGTCTGTTTCGTCTAAATCCGATGATCGACCAGAGTCGACTTCATTGTCTCTCTGCATATGTTTGTTTGGCGGTGTTGTTGTTGTTGATGTGCACGGCGATGATGAACATGAGAACGATGACGGAGTGGATGGCGAAGAATTAACTAGTTCAGAATGATTTATGTAATTTTGATGATGATCAGTAGAGTCTTGTCTGGATTCATTTGCTGTTGTCATGGTCATATTATCATTCGACAAATTATATACTTACTGGTGATTTTTTTCAAAAAGTTTTTCTAGATCTTACAAAACAAAAATAAAAAACAAGAATTAGTTTGTGCAAAAGAACGCTAACTTTTCGAAAAACTGAACTAATTCGAAGATAGTGCCTTTGCTAGAAATGCCGCGTTATCTACAACAAAAATACAGATGTTACAAATCGTCAAATAGTAGTAGTATAAAACACATTTAGTAAGGCAGCAGGTATGGGGAATATTCTAAACAACTGGTTGTGCTAGGTAAAACAATAAAATGGATTTCCAGACATTTGCCCTTTTTCTCGAACTAAACTCTGATTGCTAATAGAGTGAGTATAGTAAATATTGATAAGAACAGTCGTTCTAGACGAAACATCTTTTTCATTTCGTGTCAAAATCGACAATACAGAGGAATACAGTGTCAGATTAGTTGTTTCACAATAACTAATCCGAATCGAGAACACCACATCAGGCAAGAACCAACATAGTTTTGTTTGAAATCTTTTTATTTTTTAAAACTTGAAGTCCCAAAAGTGAACATAATACAGCAATAACAATAATATCATTATTGCCATATAACAAGACATAAAGAAATTAGTAAATAATTATTCACACACTCGTCTTCTGGATAAAGAGGTGAATATGTTGTTGGCAAAGTGGAAGCATAACATTCATTTATGTGCGCTCGACGACAATAGTTTCGTCTTTTCTCCTCTCTTTTTTGTGCTTTTTTTGCGGACAAAAAAATATATATATATCTTCCATGTTTTCTTTCTTCTTTCCCACTTCTTTCATGCACCACAAGGTACACGTGAGACTCCGGTTATTTCGTAAAAATATAATTCAAAATACAAAACAGATTTATATTTCCCAATCACACTAAATACCACATGCTTAGCGAACTACAATGTGTTTTTTTATACATACTTTATGTTCAACGAGTTTGTATAGCCATTTTTAAGTCTTTCTTTCTCTAACAGATTAAATCAGCTGTTTTATATGATTTTTTTTCTTCTTTCTTTTGCTTTCGCTTATATTTTACAGCTGATGAGAAAGAAAACAGAACATAAACGCTCACACTTACATATGATACGTTTTTGTTTATTCTGTTTGAATAAACCTTTTAGTATTATGTTTTTTCCTATGCGACATACAAAGTTGTACATGCCAGATATTTATATCTATGCGAGAAACGAATATTTTCTTTTTTCTTTCTGTCTTGTTCCATGCCTTTGATGAATCATCATTCCAAAGAAAAAAGTAAAGAATAAAACATCTTCTTACTGTAGTTTAGTATGCAGTAAAAATGAAACAAAAATAACAGTTTCAAAACAAATAGTCTCGTCTAATACAAATTATACAAATTAGAGGTGTACAAGAGGATAAATGCTCTTTTATACTCATCTTAGTATATCAAAGAATTCATGTAACGAGGTAAAAGTTACAAGCAAAAAAATATGTCTGGTATTTTAGATGTCTTTCCTATCTTTTACACTTTCAACAAAGATTGCGATTTTTTTTCGAAAGTTTCCAAAATAAACACTCGTTTGTACAAAAAAATTTTTACCAAGAAAAAGAAAAATTGTCACGAGAGATATCCTATGATATTTTGTGATATAATGAAGAAATTGAGACTTTTTCGAAAAAATCGATGATGTTACATACGAACACAGTTCCAGTCTGCTTGATCTAACTACACGCTGATGTACCTGCATCTTTTTTCTATTGAGAAGGCAAGAGTTTCATATTTCTATCTTGTCGTATATGAGATAAAGAATAAGCAGTAAAGATCTAATAGGTAGTCACATTATTCGACTAAACATAATTGAAAACAAAGAGAAAATTTTTTTTAACAAGATACGATGAAAATAGTAAGCCCCTCTCCCCCCTATCACAAAGTGCCTTTTGTCCGATGGTTCAACATGATTTGAGTGTTAATTAAATGAGACAAAATTCTTTATTTTATATGAATTTCTCCAAGGTTCATAGTCTTGCGTTAATGTATTGTTCACATCTGCTTGTACTACAGCTTCATTGTTTAAATCCTAATCAGACAAATGTTTTGATTCTTTTGTAAAAAAGAAGACTGACAATGTTTTTGCGAGTAGAGAGATATTATGATTAACATTTTGCAACTACTGTGAAAAGTGGACTTTGCCGTCAGATAGAATATGATGAAACTTCGAGAAATATAAAATTGATATACATATAAACTTTGAATGATCTCTCTTCAAGTCTAGTTGTTTTTTGCACTGATTTCGACCTTTGTGACATGTCTCAGTACTCGTAGGTCAAAGGAGCAGTAGTCCAGTGGATCAATATCAAATAATCCATTAGAATACGTGACATAAAACGAAATAAACACAACTTCACGCAATATAATAGCCAAACTTTTTACAAGAGAATCGGGAAATTAATAATGACTGCACTACTAATTTCTTAAGATATGTATGTATAAGAGTAGTTGTCAGCGCAATTTTTTTTTTCCTACTAAGAATCGCCTTATACACTTCAACGCACTTGTGCTTGCTGCTAGATAACGTCAATAAAAAGGCTTGTAAAACAAAGAGATGAAACAATATGATAAATATTAGATGGAGTTCATGATTCAATCTGATTCTTGCTAAAAATGTCTGATTCTAATCTACTTTGCTTAGCGTGGACAAGTTTTTCGAAACGTAGCACGATCGATGATTTAAAACACATGAATTTGATTTATATGAATAATACTTATGTAAAAAACTGAGTTAATCATAATATAATACAAATTAAGATTTAGAAAAACGTTCTTACAAAAATTAACGAAAATATTTTGTTTAAAAGATTATCATTTTTGTTAATATGCTAAAGTTAAAATAAAAGCATGTAAAGAACTTTGCAAAGTCGGACAGTTTTTAATTTCAAAAACCAAATTTTATGACATTTTTATAGATTATATACTGAAACAAGAAAATAACACCTTTAGATATGGTCTAAGATCTAGAAAAATGTCAGTACGATCGAATAGAACTTTTGTTAGAGCCGTGTAGTATGTAGGTCAAAATCAGGGTTGTCTAGAAAAATGCATAGGAGAGCATCTCACACAATTTTGGACAATATAATAGCGTTTACAGATTGATCTTTTGTTAGTTCTCTTTGCAATAACTATTTTCCTTTTCAACTAAATAAATGAAATGACAAAAAAGTCATTTGTTTCTTTTTCAACTGAATCGAATTCCTATCGAACCTACCATTGCTATTCTTCTTCATTTTTTCTTCGGCTAATTTCGATTTTTCTAAACAGAAAACTCTTCATCCCAATAACGGTGGATGATCAACAGTTGGTTTTATTCATATTTTTTATACAGAATTCTCTGGAAAACGGTTAGGCCATGAACTTTGAAGATTGTTGACTGAAAGTTTCTTTTGACGAAATTTGGTGCGGATTAAAAGATTTTATAATATCTCGTTAGATTACAAAATAAGATTATACAAGATTATCTAAACTAATTTTGTAGCGCCACGGAAGCTACACCCCAGTACTGACAACTAACTACCATCGTCTATCCAATTGTTTGCATTGGGCCTGAAACTTTAGTAAACGTTGACATTTTTCATTCTAATCGAAGTTATATTATTCTCACAAGCTTTTATCGATAAAGGATGTATGTCCGCTTCGTATTGTTCGTACAACAAACTGAAATCAAACGATAAACCTAAGTCACTCATTCGTACACAAACAGTGGTGTGTATTATACATTGGAGCTGTGCATTGGAATGGATTAGTTCGAAGATGCCGCTACTGCTCAGTCAAAATCGAAAAATAACTCAGCTATGCGCAATTACGCTTTGTTCTTTGAAGTCGTCATGTCGAAAATATAGCCAATGATAAAAATCAGTGAGAGGACATATTGATATCACATTTTAATTTAATACTGAGCAGAGAGCTATGAGGTTCAAACGGGTGCTCATCTGAAGTTTTCTTTGAAATTGACTTATTAAGCCGATGACCACTCTGACTTCGTTAAATATATCATACTAATATATCAAAAGATTTTTTATTTGTCTGCCGTTATCAGAAATAATACTCTTTGATATAAAAGCAAAGTCGTTTATTATTCAAAATATGATACTGATTTTAGTTACAACGGGCAGTACCGACTGTATATGGTAAACGTCATAGAAGTGCGGTTCGTTTTTGTAGACGATCGCTAGAGTTATAGATCAAACGGGTTTATCTTTACTTTACTTCAGTATGAATCATTCAAAAATTTATCTCAACGATGAAATAAAAAAACTGAAACATATTTAAGTAATAACAAAACATTATCTTAGACTTTTAGATACGTAGAATCCATCAAAAGGCATATTCTTTGTGAGAAAAAAATGAGTCATCGAAAATTTGAACATCCTCGTCATGGTTCACTCGGTTTTCTACCAAAAAAACGTTCACGTCGTCATCGTGGTAAAGTAAAATCATTTCCAAAAGACGATCCAAAAAAACCCGTTCATCTGACAGCATTTCTTGGCTATAAAGCTGGTATGTATAACTCTAAACCAGAATTCTATCTATAGTGATCTGTTTCTCTTATTTTTAGGAATGACACACATTGTACGAGAAGTCGATCGTCCTGCCTCAAGTTAGTATAATCTTTTTTGCCTATTTCTTATCATAGCAATGAAAAACTCACAGTTTCTGACAACGTATTCTCAACTTGTTATTCGACGAAGTTCAAAGAACTGTAATATAAAAATTAGTTTACATAACTTTAAATAGAGTACAATCTGTGTTGAATAAATCTAGTTTTTGGGCCTTGACTAATCATGGTTTGTTTTCATTTATTGTTTAGAATTGAATAAGAAAGAAACCGTTGAAGCTGTTACCATAATTGAAACACCACCAATGGTTGTTGTGGGTGTTGTTGGTTATATCAAAACACCACGTGGTTTGAGAACATTTAAAACAATATTTGCCCAACATTTAAATGAAGAATGTCGTCGCCGATTTTATAAAAATTGGTATAAATCAAAACATAAAGCATTTTCAAAATATATAAAAAAATGGTCCGACGAAAATGGAAAAAAATTAATTGAAAATGATTTTAAGCAAATGCAGAAATATTGTAAATGTATTCGAGTATTAGCACATACGCAAATGAAATTATTGCGTAAACGTCAAAAGAAAGCACACATTATGGAAATTCAATTGAATGGTGGTACTATTGAACAAAAAATTGCGTTTGCACGTGAACATCTTGAAAAACAAGTACCAATTAAGCAAGTATTTTCCAAAGATGAAATGATCGACGTTATTAGTGTAACAAAAGGTCGTGGTGTGAAAGGTGTTACATCTCGTTGGCATACAAGAAAATTGCCACGTAAAACACATAAAGGTCTAAGAAAAGTGGCTTGTATTGGTGCATGGCATCCAAGTCATGTGTCATTTGCTGTTGCACGTGCTGGACAAAAGGGTTACCATCATCGTACAGAAATAAACAAGAAAATTTATCGAATTGGTGATGGAATACAAATTAAAGATGGAAAAACAATTAAAAATAATGCATCAACGGAACACGATCCTGCTGAAAAAACAATCACACCAATGGTATGTTTACTGTTCTCCTTTAGTACGATTTTTTTTTAATGAAAAGTAAGATGATTTTCTAGTCTGACTATTGTTACCCTTTATCAAAATTGTTCTCGCGTTATTTTACAAAAAACTTATCAAAAAGATACCTAATCGGTTGAATATACCCTAATTCGTTTCTCTTGTTTAGGGTGGTTTTCCACATTATGGTGAAGTGAAACAAGATTTTATCATGATCAAGGGTTGTTGTATGGGCCCGAAAAAACGTCCAATTACACTACGTAAATCATTAATATCAACTTCAAAACGTTCACATCGTGAAGTTATCGATTTACGCTTTATTGATACATCATCGAAATTTGGCCATGGTCGATTTCAAACACACGAAGAAAAACGCTTATTTATGGGACCACTCAAAAAACATCGTATCCAAGAAGAACAACAGCAACAACAATCTCAACAACCAGCATCGTGAAAATCGAGGGGAAAGAAAAAAAGAAAGAGAAAAAAGTCATATCTCTTACTGTTTACGTTTTGTTTTTCTATCTTGGTTTTCATCCGTTGTTTACGACCGTGTTTTGTTAGCAACCTACAAATAAAAAAATAAAATATACACCATGTCGCGAATGAAATATAAGAATATCGATGTTTTAGGATATAAACAGGTGATTGGAGATTTACATCAGTTTTTGTTGGCAGTTCATGCTTAGAATCGAGAACAATCTTTTATCTGCAAAATTCGCTGTTTTGTTTTGAAGATCAGGAGTGAAACGTGGATTATATTCCATACAAAGGACTAAATTACTAATAGAGTACTAAATATGAGAATACAACTGAATATTCAAATGAAATTGACGTTTCAATTAACTCTCTCATACATCGACAAAAACAAAACATAGTTTACGTCGTACATCTGATCTCATTGATTTTGATGAGATAATGTATATTCTAAGAAAATACCCGGCTCATTCATTTTAAATACTAGAGAGTACTCTGATTCATAACTCCCTCTTTTCACAGAGCAAATGACGTTTTTTCACGACCTAGTGGATAACAATTTTTGGAAGTAGTTTGTTACTAGTTGTCGTTATTAGAGAAGATACTTAAGTTCTAACACACTCGAATATACAAAAAGACGCTTGGATTAGCTAGAACCAAACTCATTGTGCTTGTATGATTTTACTTTTGTGTACCTTTTTGAATGAAGAACATGGCTTTCGTTTGTTTAACTTTGTCGCCCAAATAGTAAAAAAGCAAACAAAACGCACAATATAACCTTTCTTCTTTGCTGTTATGTTTGTGTTTTTTCCTTTTATACAAATGTATTCCTTGTTTGGAATGAAAATTCGATACCATCCCTCATCTATTGGTCTTTAAATTATAATTTTGATTATACGATTGTTCTAGATGTTAAGATATGCATCTTCATCAAGTTTTAACTGGTGCAGCTAATATAAACGATTTCAGTTTTGCAATCGGTAGTATTGAAAGTTTACATTTTGCTGTGAGTAAAAAAAATTTTTGTTTTGAATAGATATTGTAATTTTCTTACTCTTCTTTTTTTTGAAGGCATACGCTGCTGGATATAATGTTGTAATATTATCGGGAGATTTTCAACGTGTGCAAGTAATACCTGGCAGTGAACATGACAACTGTTTAATAACGTGCGTTGATTGCACAAATGAAACAGGCAAAGTGCGTATATACGAAAAAGATTGCTGAAATCTGATATTCTTGTTTCATCTAGATTATTGCTGCCTATAACAATCAAGTTTGCATTTATGAGCCAACACCAACTGTTCATAATCTTTCTCATGTAAGTACAAAAATAATTTCTATTCTCTGAACTGAAAAAATAATTTCTTGTTTTAGCGTTTAAATTATCAATGGATACAAACATGTAAATTATCATGTTGTGAAAGTTCAATAACAGCATTAACATGGAGTCCAAAAGGTTAGTGTTGTGTATATGATTTTTTTTTATTATAAAAGATCTTTTTTTCTTTTTTGTAGGTGATCAGTTCATTGTTGTGTGTGATTCAACTTTACAATTATGGGCATATGGCAATGATGAGGCAACAGAATCATTAAAAATACCAACAAATGTTCAGTTTGGTCTTGATGTTGAATTGGAACAGAAGTTAGCACCACTAGCACAAAAAACCTGGAAAGATATTTGGAGTTACAAGTAGACGTTTAAGCATGTGGCAAACATTGCGGAAAGTATTAGGTTTTTTCTGTTATTTCTAGACTGCCAACTCCAATCAAACACGTGGTATATTCAAGTGACGGAACATTTTTTGCTACAATCGGACAAGTAAGTAAAGAAAATATGTAGCCGGCAAAGTAATAATTCATTTTTACTTCTTGTTTATAGAATGATCGTTTAGTTCGTGTTTGGTATCGAGCAACACCAGCCATCGATAGATCTTTCATTTATACATATTTGGCTCATCCTCGTCCTGTTATCAGTATATCATGGCGTAAAACGTCAAAATTTTTTTCCGAGTAAGTATTTTCGAGATGCTGTTTTTGATAATAGACACGAACTTGATTTATATTTAGAGGAACATTATCAAATTGTTTAATAACATGTTGTAAAGATAATATATGCCGAATATGGTGTGAAACAATAAAACAAGAAGATTCATTTATGACCGATTTATCTCAAGTGCGTGTTAGTCAAAAACGTTACCATGAAGTTTTAGATAAAGGAGTACAAAAACTTTACAAAATGAGGTGAGCATCGAGATTCTCGTTTAGCTGTTAATCTTCTATACCTGAGTTCTATTTCAGATACAATTACTTTATTCCTGTTCCATCGTTACCCAATCAACCTCTACATGATTTATCCTCCCATACATCTGTTGATCAGTTGAATAATGATGAAAATACTATTTCTGCAACACCTGTGATAACTAATGATGATAATAATCAACCAACGCCTCCGTTCAATATTTCACATTCATTGTCTAGTTTCTCATCATCATCATCATCTTCGATTGCTTCAATTGCGCTTCCTTCCTCGTTGTCTGCGACACAATCCTTAGCTAGTAATATTGTTCGTTTTCACGTAGCAACAACAATTAATCCATACACTGGTTAGTTAAATAATGCTTAAAAAAACATTTTATTATTCTGTGCCATTCTATGTTTGTAGATATTTTACTATCACCCAATGTTCTCCCACACAAAGATTATCCATTTATTGTTCAATGGCTTAATAATAAAGACTTATTTAACACGTTATCTATTGAACGTTTTGTTTATGATATGCAAAAGATGAGTAAATTTCGTTATGATCTTGATAAAAGCAGTAATGTCGGTAGTGTTAATACAGATGTTGACGATAAAAATAGTAATGATACACAAACTGGCAGCCGAAGACATCCACCGATATTTGGAAGAACCAGCATCATCAGTGATTCTAAGGTAAGTTTACTGGTCTCTACTAAAAAGTGTACAATCAAACAGTACACCCGATCACTTGCCTATTGACTGAAAATTTTCAGCTACTGATAGAAAGGTGTACGAGTGTTCGATTGTACGGTTTTTAGTAAGCTTACCTGTCTTCTGCATTCTTATTCTAAAAAATTTCGTTGTTTTTCTATTCATTCCGACAGCATTTTCTTGGCATCCGTACAAAATTACAATCTGTAATCAATGATTGGATAACAAGTCCTGATGTCTTATTTAGTATTCATCCGGTTGATGGTAGTCTTTTATTATGGTAAGTAGAACCTTCATATCCTCATTCTTTTTAACAGCATGACATTTGTAGGATTGTGGATTGGCTTGATCAACCAATACTCTCTTCTTCGCTGTCGTTACCATTTAAATCAATCCACATGTCATCTTATCCAATACTTCATCGTCAAGTACAAGTCAGCTTTTCAGCAAAAATTCCGGATGTATTTCCTATGGGTGATGCATTATCACTTCGTCCATATTTAGTATTATTTTGTGATCATTATCCACCACCATCACTCGCTCTAAGTTATGATTCAACAGAGCTTGTCAAACGATCGTCAAATAATAATAGTACAAATGACCGAGAACAGTTATTACCACTCGTCAATATGGTTACAAAACATACCAATGGCACACTCAACTTATGGTCACTAACGTTCACCAACGAACAAAAGTTTCAATCTCTTGTTTGTGTATCACATTTAGCTCGAATGTGTGGACATCATTTTTCCATTCGACACGTTGTTTGTCATCCAATTGTACCACTCGTATTAACAAGTTCATGTTATTATTCAAACGATGATGAAGCAATATCTCTCAAAAATAAAAATTATAATAGCTCATTGATCTTATGGAGCACAGAACCAATTGGGCCAATGTCAAAAACGGGTGGTATTACAGAATTAGCTAGGATGGAATCCATTTATCAAAATGCTTATAACTTAATTGCATGGTTCCCAATGGTTATTCCAAGGTATATCACTATCTGAACAGGAATGGAGTAGCTTCTAAGATGATATTTGTGTTTTTTTAGTATGGCAACAACTATTTTACGAGACTCTCCTAGTTTCTTGTTTATAGCATCTGATGGTAAAAAACTACGTATATATAAAGTTATTTGGAACGCAAAAGCATTATTGACCAGTCAATTTGGCGAGCCTAATGTATGTAGAGATCTACATTGTTATAACCTTTCATAATTATCTAACTTTCTTTTTCACTTTTATTCTATCATAGTCTCCTAGTCATATTAATAGTTCAGATAATCCACGAGGAAACACGACAGATCAATTAAAAATTGCTAGTATTCAATCCACAGCTCGTCCAAGTTGTGTGGTCGATTTAGCGGAAGTTACAGATTCACAATGTGTAAGTTATTTCTTCTGTCCTATACATTAGCGCATATATCCATATGACACTTGTAAAGTATTTTTAGATTTGGCGAAACGCAAAATTAATTCATATATTTCCAGAAAGTGCAATCGATTATAGTACACAATCACCATCGTCTTTTCGTTCAAAATCTATAACAAAAAAACTCTATTATCTGGTATTAGTAGAAAAAGTAGAAACAAAACAAAGTCGTATACATATGTGGGAAATTATAATTACTTATCCTGCTGATGAGAATGAATCAATTATTGCTGATATTACCGATGACACAAGACAAGAACCAAATTTGATTACTGATGTGCGAAGTACGAAGGTAATATACGATACCTTCGTTTAGAAGCATTGATTTGATTGAATAAGCTATTATCTATCCACTGGTACATGTGTAACTTTTAGGTTAGTGACTATGTTTTACCGGTACCGACAGATGCTGAATTACAATCTGTTGATGTATCATTTGGTGATTTAAGTTCAAGTTCACTATGTTACTGTGATTCATCATCATCATCTCCATATTTACTTACAACAATTCATAGTGATGGTATTGTACGTTTCTGGAACTGTACAAAACAGGCCGCGTTAACTTCTAGCCATATATTGTATGAATGGAATGAATGGTGTGGTATTCTAACGTATTGTGAAAAAAGCACAAGATTAAGTATTATTGGGTTACCATTGTGTGTGAGTAATGCTTATTGTGGACGATTAGCGGTTGCTTTTAAATCCCAAAATAGAATAAATATTGGAATTTATGAATGTGAATCAACAGGTGGTACGTTATGGAAGCATGAAGAAATTATTAATGTAAATAATGATGATGATCATTCACAAAAACAATTGTCAAAACGATTTATTCATCTTGATTGGGCATCAATTGAAAATGGATCACATTTACTAGCTGCTTGTATTGGTCATCGTATATTATTATTTTCAGCAGCCTATTCTTCTTCAAAAACAACTAAAACAGCAACATTACAACGTAGTACAAGTATATCATCGCTAGAAGATAATACCACAAATTGGATTCAATTTCGAACAATTAATCTAAGCTATGTTGATGGAAAACCAGCATTTCCAGTACGTTTGAAATGGGTCAGAGGTGGATTATTATTTGTTGGTTTAGATAGTGAACTACAAGTATACTCACAATGGTCATCATTAGATAATAAAAAGATGAATCAATTAAAAGAACAGCAAAACCTATTACAACCGTTAATCAAGACAAAACAGCATAAAAAACAACTAAAAAAAGCATTGACAGCTACCGATCTTAGAAAACTGTCCATATCTGATAATGATCATTCATCTTCAGCAAATAATATGCTAATTCAGAAACAACAACCACGACAACACCAACAAAAACCACAAAATAAATCACCACAAACATTGTCATGGTTAACATTGGATACTATTGATAATTTAGGATTATTTAATGCAGCTAGGTATGATAGAAGGAGGAAAAAATTTTCAGAACTTAATTTCTTTTTCTCTTTCGTATTGTAGAAATGCTGCTCCCGTTTTACCACAGTATCATCCAAAATTATTACTTGAATTAGTTCGTTTTGGTAAATACCGTCGCGTTAAAGCAATTTTAGCTCATTTGACAAGATGTGTGATCCGTTCTGTACATAGTGGTAGGTTCTTTTATCATTGATCTTCTAGGTGAGAGTATTGACTGACTTTTTTATTCTTTTTTTCGTTTGTATAGTTGAAAGTAAAGTCGAAATGAAATTAATGCGTACAAGAACATTTTCAATAGCAAATAGTGAAAATAAACCAAGTGGTGTCACTGAATTGGAACCAGCAAAATACATCGAAATTGATTCAATTCCGCTATTACCATTGTTTGCATTGTTTGTAGCTGATAATGAAACATCGAGTTTAACAGATGATGAAAATAATAAAACAAATGGAGAGAGGGATGGTGATATTGATTTTGATAATTATAATGATATAAATAAAAAATATGATGATCTATTTGCAACAGCGGTACATAGTGAAGTTGAATTCAAATTCGACGAAGAGAATGATAATGAAAGGAAATATCGAAGTAAAAGTGTTCAACATGCTTAAAAATTCTTATATTAACAACTAAATTCATTTTCTAGAAGAATTGGATAAATTGAAAAAAGAAATTCTTTCTAATCGTAATTGGTCAGCATCTTCTTTGTGTATATTCGATAAACGAATGGTTGATTTACTTGTTGACTATTTTCAACGTATTAGATTAACGAGTCTTACTGGTACGGATCAAATGTATCTATTGGCATTAGCAGATACATTGGCTACAGTGGGAAATGAAAATGCCACTAGAAATGAATGTATGTTTTAGTCTAACTTGAGAAAATAAATTAGATATCATATATTGTTATTACTGTTTATTTTAGATGCTATGGATGATTGTGGACTTCGATTTTTGATTGATGTTAAACGTTATATTTATTTGTCTAAAATACTCTCGCCATCGCAACGTTCAACTCTGTTCAAACACACTATTACTAGTGCATCGTTTGCATGGGCATTTCATTCTGATTTACAAGAAGATCTACTTGCTCTATTACCATCAATAGAAAAAGGAAAACCTGATTGGAATGAATTAAAATTATTTGGTGTAGGATGGTGGATTCGAAATCGAAGTGTTATTACACGATTATTCGAAAAGGTAAAATATAATATCATTTTGTTTCATGTATTCTCTTCATTTTACTATTTTAGCTTGGTAAAACAGCATTTGAACAAAACAATGATCCACTTGATGGTGCATTATATTTTTTAGCATTGAAGAAAAAAAGTTTTCTATATAATTTGTACAAGTAAATAATACTCTTATATTCATAAACAATTAGATAAGATTATCCGTTTTAATTTAGACATGTTCAAGATACTAAAATGCAAGAATTTTTTAAAAATGATTTTACCGAAGATCGTTGGTTAAAAGCGGCACAAAAAAATGCCTTTGCTCTATTAGGAAAACAACGATTTGAACATGCTGCTGCCTTTTTTCTGTTAGGTGGAAAAGTTCATGATGCAATTGAGGTATGTATTAATAATTTACATGATATACAATTGGCGTTATTGATAGCACGTTTATATGAAAATGAACAACCATCATCGTCGTTTGTTGATTATCTATTGAAAACACAAATAACGACTTCACCTGATCCATTCGTGCGTAGTATGGCTCATTGGTTATTAAAAGATTATGATCAATCATTAACAACATTACTTCAACAACCGAATCTTGAATCAATAACAAAATACAATAGTATCTATCCAGTACCGTTCGATTATGATACAGTAAAACAGTCGATATTTATATTCTATGATTATCTCAGACAACATCCTCTTATATTACGTGCAAAACAATTGGCAACAGCAACAATAGATGAACATGATACAACACGTTTTGCTATTGAACGACGACTACACTTTCAGACAGCTTATCATTATATTAATGAAGGTTGTCCATTATTAGCATTAGAAATATTAGCAAAATTATCACCATTTATTGAATCGGAATCAACAACAACAACAACAGCAACAGTCATATCGAACAATGAAAGAACAAATGGAATAGAAACAAATGGAGACTCTATGGATTGGAGTAAACCAGTGACAGAAAATAAGGATGATGATGAATTAAAGTTGGATTGGGATGATGATGAAAATGAGAATGAAGAAAAAGTTGAGGAAAAACAAGTGTTGAAAGAAGAAAAAATAATTACAGAGAAAAATACATCTAGTTTTCAACAGTTTGATAAAGTTGGACAATACATCAAATTAATATGTTGTCTAAAAATAGTTGTGGAAGAAATGGCTACATTGGCAACTGGTTTTGAAGTTGTTGGTGGACAATTGAGGTATAACTACAGTTATTTTATTACATATCTTGTCTTTTCAGTGTTTTTAAGAACGTTTCTAAGATTTAATATATTGGAAAAAAGTACAAGCAATTTGATTTGTATACCATCTCACCATTACCAGCAGGTTTACTAGATCAGATGAGAAAGAAAATCTTTTCTAGATACACGTTTATTCTTATCTTACCTGATGCAAACGTTCCTAATCTTCTCTATTTCTGTTTTTTTTCAACATTTTTGCATCACTTTTGTATCTATCAAATTAATAATCACAAGAAAAGTTAACCAAGCAACTAACTGGTCAAATTGGATTGTTAGAACACATCTTCATCTACTATTATCATTTCTATACAAATATAAATTGTATCTTCATCAATTATAAGAACAAGAAAAATTTTATATATTGAAAGAAACACGAAAATAAATTATCGCCCTTGTACACTCTCGTTGTTGATCCTATGCAATCGTCTGTACTAGCCAACAACAATATACTTGTTTCGATGATTTCTCAAATCACATTCTATGTAAATCTCAAATGACACTATTGAGTGAAAAGTAGACTTTTTGTCTTGAAAACTAAATTCTTGACGTATTTAACAGAAAATCTACTATTAAATATGGTATTTTTTGAAAAATTAATGAATATAAAAAAAATGTTAAGGTAAAATAAAATAACGTTCATAAAAACAGACAATCTATTACATCGTCTAATATATAAACAATTTATAAGTATTAGTTATGAAGAATCGTTAACATTGAAACAAGTATTATGGTTCAAGAATCGTTAACTATTGCCGTAAGAATGGTATGAAAATCCAACAAAATTACTAAAATTATGAAAAATCACAAATTAGACATAAAAGATGTTCATTTTGGATGAATAAAATATAAAATATTGGAAAAGAAATATTTACATCGAAATACAAGGGTAAAAATCAAAAGTCGAGTAGGTGTTATTTGTGCAATGAATGTGATAAAATTTACATTGAGCCAACAACTATTAGAACGAATCAACGTGTTTAAAAAAATATTAAATGACGACATATATGAAAATGTAAAAATAACGTATTATTTTTGATGATCATAAAATTAATCTGAATAAACGGCACAAATTAGCTTATATGAAAAAGTTAGAAGGAAAATATAAATCAAAGAAAAATTCATAATACAACATTATGAGACTATTGCAAATAATCCCATTTATACTGTACTAATCTAGTACAATACTTGAAGGCTTTACTATGCTTTGAGAATGAATTTTGTACTTAAAATTCATTTTCCATACGTTGATCATAAAGATTGCTTGTACTTTTATCCAATACAGTTAATATATTAGATATTGTGTGATAAACGAGTTATATGTGCAGTAGAAGTGAACGAGTTCGTTACATCCTAAAGGGTGCCGAATTGATATGAACTGAATAAGGCTATTTTCTTTAAGCTTTGCTATTTTGTTTGTAGAAATCGAAGTTTTATCAGTAATGACATTTCCATTGTTGATAAATCATTATTTTGTACCTGTAGGTTGTTTAAATATAGAGAAAGAGGTAGAAAGATATGAAAAAACTTTTTGACAGAGAAAATGTTAGTTGTTGAGAAGACGGGACAATAAAATAGCTCGTTCAACCAATGGTGTGATGTACTGTTTGTGTATGAAATAATCTATTCGACAACTTAAATTACTTTTTCTTTTAGACATCATTTATATTGTTGGCTTGAACAAGAAATAAAAATTATTCGACAACTATGCGGTATGGGGTTAAACCGAGATGGTGAGAATAGTGGAGGTGGTGATGGTCTGTCAGAAGGTGTGTACTTTCTTATTATTATCTAGTCTCGTTGTACGTATGTTTATTTATTTAGTTTTGAACGAACCGATATTATTTGACATGGGAATGAATGATGATAACACTGAAAATGGTCAGATACCGTATCAATCTTCGACACCATCGTCACTCATTCGTACTAGTCACTTGGAAACAAAATTTAAGCGAATAATACGTCGACGTCAATGGTTAAAATCAAATGAGCATCTTCTACGAACATTGGTGTCCTTTACAACGTTACATGGAATGCAAGGAGGTAACGTAGCGATCAAGAAAATAATTTGTTCAATTTAAATTTAACTCAGCTTTACTTTACATTCAGGTGGTTTAGCATCTGTTCGTATGGAATTGTTGCTTTTAATGCAAGAGTTAACATGTCAAACACGTACACAATTAAAATATCCAATACCTTATCCAACTAATGTTCCATTATTAACAGCTAATCTATCATTTTCTTTAAGTGTAAGCAATAATTCAATTGGTTATGTACGAGATGTTACCTATGATATATTGCGAACAATGAATGACTGGCCAACATTACCGACATTACATGAGAATGCCTATAGAATTGTTGCATTGAGAGATTTAGCAATTGCTCTGTCGAGTTCTATATATCAGTCATTATGTAGTACCAATGAAAATCAAACAACAGAACGATTAGCTGTCGAATCATTTCTAAGATCGTATTTATATCGTCGTGATTCAATACGTTTCCATCGTCGAAAAAGTGTCACATCATTAATTGAACATGATTCACCCACAACTGCACCGAAAGATTGGCCAGGTTTGTTGTTTTTCATACTCATATAAAAATTATACACTGTTTAATTCTCTGTATAGGTATAAAAATGTTTATTAGCATGATAAAAGAACAAGATAACGATACTCCAAAATTAAAAACGCTTCTTGTTGAAATACTTGTATCTGTTTATATGTCATTGCTTATTTATGCATTATCAACAGATGATTGCAGTACGTTATATCGTCTCATTGTACGAAAATGGTCTTTACCTGAACTAGCTATTAAATTATGGTATGGAGTATTTGGTGGTGGTGCAAAAAGACAATTAACACCTTCTCCAAATCCCATTATATTTGAAAAAATACGTAAGTTTAATTAGAAAAATGTTATTTCTGTAGATGAATGTGATTCATTTTCTGTAGCTGAAACAACTGAATTATCGTCATCTCCAACAAATAATCGTCCATCTGGTAGTACATATGTGGATAGGATTTTACCATCACAATCACTCCAACAATCATCAAAACCACCTTATGTAGAAATGTTTATACCACCACGTGCAAGTATTGTCAATTATTTTATGGCAAAAGTGAGTTCTCGCAAAAGTGAGCTCTGTTATAATTAAAATGTATGTATATTTTTCTGTTTAGATATCATCTGAAGTCAAAAATTATAATTATGATTCCGATAATGAAGACGAAATTGACGACGGCGAAGATGAAGAAGATGCTAACGATGAAGAAAAAACTGAGAATTCTTCAAAGTAATGTAATTTTCATGTAATAAACGCGTTTAATTATTATTTTTTCTTCAGAAAAATACAATCACGTGAACATTCTGATTCAATGTCCTATTCGTGGATATTGATGCGTTTTGCTATCGTTCGTTTGGTAGAACAACGATTATGGTTATTTTTTCCCAATATTGGAATTGAACATCAAGGTAAATAGTTTGAATACAATTTTGCATTATATTTTTTTTATTTTTCTATTTTATTTTTAGAAATACCCATATTATCACCATTACTACAACAATTTCTTCAAAATTTAAATCAATGGCAAGAATCATTGCGTCGAACATTAGATGCATTTGATTCTCCACCCGATAACTACTTACCATTGAGTACAATTGATTCAACGAGTGATGATTATCGTATCATGTTAGAGCCAGACAATACACCATTTTCGTATGTCAATCATTTTATGTTGAGTAAAGAAAGTATAGTGTGTTATATTTTTTTAGTGAATCATTATCTGCATTGCCAGTAAAGCGTTTATGGAATTATCTAGTCAATGAAGAACAATTACAAAATATATTTATTAAATATATATTTAAACGAAAATCAGCAGTATCAACTTCGATCACTAGTGTAGATAAGGTATGTAGAAAGAGAATGCCTTATTAAAAGACAAATTATTTATAATGAAAGTATTTTAGCTTCTATCTTCTAAGCCAAAAAAGCGCATACTTACGCGTCATTCTTCACAGCCTATCGACGTGAGTTGGCTATTGCTAGTCTGTGTGTTTTTAAACTGATCAAAATGATTGATGATTAATGATTCAAATAATATTTTGCTTATGAAATACATTAGCTCAGCATATTTTGTTTTTTTTGTAGTACAATGGTCGACTTACTGACAGTAGTATCACCGACAGTGGATTACCAGCTGGAAAAATTATTTATCGCGCTTCTGAATCAATTAGTTCATTTTGTTTAAATAATGTAAGTTGTAGTTAAATGATGTAGCATTTTTTGTCGATTAAAATCATTGAATGCTTGATTTATAGCTAAGTCCAAGTTTAATAGCAGTTGGTCTATTGAAAGAAATTATTGAACTTGATATTTCAAATTTGACAACTACAACGTCATCCTTTCGATTAACCGAATTTGCAGATGACGACAATGAAATACCATTGACACCAACAACACCTTTAACATTGTCAGTTTGACTCTACTTTCATTCTTGGTGATATTTAGGCTATGTTTTTGCCTTATTCTCCTTCTTTTTTATAGAATGACGACTGATCCAACATCGAGAGCACGTTCGTTACGCATGTCAGCGGGTATTTATCTGCCAAATAGTTATTTAACTCAACCAACAGCTGGCGCCAATGGAAATAATGGAAATAGTGCTGAGCAACTGGTAAGTTAGATCGAACAGACAAATATTGTATTTTAAAAACTAATGATTATAAAATGAACGATTCGAAAATTACAATAAGAATGATATAGTTTAACTACCATTGTCAACAATACGATCGTATCATATATATATATAACTTGATCATTAAATCTATAATGGTTGTTTAGATTTGTCGACATGCGATAAGAGATACTGTGCGTTTTGCAAATCATCCTATACTTCCACACTGTAAGTCTTTTTCACGTTTGATTGTGATTATAATAAATTGAAAGAATCTGTCTTGTTAGATCTATGTGGTTGTAATGATGGCAGTGTATATTTAATGAATTGGAATCAAGATTCACAACCACGACAAGTTCGTGAATCAACAAAACGTGTTACAAAACTTGATTTGAACTGTGAAGGAAATAAGGTAATCGATCTCCTTTTCTTTTTTTTATTGTTCATATTAAATTTATTAATATTTGTCTCTTTAGTTTGGTATTGCTGATGCTGATGGTTATTTATCTCTGCATGTTTTGACAAACAATCGATCGTCAGCGTATATGGTAAAGTTTCTTTGAAGTGTATTTTTGATGAAAAAATAATTGATTTTAATATTTTAGCGTTTCAGTGCACATTCCAAATCGACAAATGATTTTACCTTTCTTGATTCATCAACAGTGATTGCAACAGCTGGTACTGGGCATGAAAATCAAAATGTTTGTTTATGGGATACACTTATGCCAACGACACGAATGAATATCGCATGTACGATTATATCTTTAAGATTTTTATCAATATTATTATTATTATTGTTTCTATTCATTTTTTATAGCTTTTCAATGTCATGAAGTTGGTAGCGGTGCTCAATGTTTAGTTTATTCTCAATCTCATCATTTACTAATAACTGGTGGAAAACGTGGTGATATTTGTATATTTGATCTTCGACAACGACGTCGTTTAGCTACGAGTCAAGCACACGATTCACATTTAAAAGCATTAGCATTAGATCCATATGAAAAATTTTATGTTACCGGTTCAACGGAAGGAAATATTAAAGTAAGTATCATCATTATCGTTCTCGATCATGTTCTATGATGTATTTTTGTTTAGCTTTGGCGTATTCATGGCTGTGAATTAGTCCATTGTTATTATAATGAACATTCTCGACGTGGTTTTTTACATTCACAAATAAGTGGTGTTAATCATTTAGAAGTAACATCGACAAGACATTTATTTTCATCCGGTGCTGATGGTTCATTAGTTGTTCGACAACTTACACAATTTGATTAATTTATATTATATTACTGATTTTTTTTTTGTTTTTGTATAAGGTTTTATCAAATATCCAATTAAAAAACAAGTTGACTCATTCCTCTCAGGAGTGTTTTCGAATAAAACCAAAATTTCATTTATTCTTTGTATCCCTCATATATTGCAATATATCTGTAATTTCTTTTCTTTTTTTTTAAATCTATTTTTATGTGTCATTCCATTTTGTATAATTTATTTGCCGTTAGTTTTTTAAATTATTGTTGTTTCTCTTTATTAGTAACTTATTAATTATTGTATTGTGTTTTGCAAAATATGCTGTTTGTCATTTCATTCTTTCCTAAATTTATTTTTATACAAAGTAAACGATAATAATTAATAATAAATCATTTATTTTTTTACTAAAATTATTATACATAATTGTCTCATATTTATTCAGGAAAAAGGAGAAATTATCGTTGATTCTAATATAAATTTTTTATTTTTTATAGATTGAAATATGAATTGGTTAGCCTTTTTTTCTCTTTGAATATATTGTTCTTTGTTAAAAATTGACTATTTTTATTTCAGGAATCCGTTTAGGAGACTTTTATTAAAGATGTCCATGCAATTACAATTATATATTAGCGATTTTTATTATCTTGTTAAAGACAAAGACATGGACGTCCGTAATGAATGATGNATCGTTGATTCTAATATAAATTTTTTATTTTTTATAGATTGAAATATGAATTGGTTAGCCTTTTTTTCTCTTTGAATATATTGTTCTTTGTTAAAAATTGACTATTTTTATTTCAGGAATCCGTTTAGGAGACTTTTATTAAAGATGTCCATGCAATTACAATTATATATTAGCGATTTTTATTATCTTGTTAAAGACAAAGACATGGACGTCCGTAATGAATGATGCCCTACAAGAAATGCAAATTCTCGAAAATCTGTGGGATTAATCGTAAGTAAAATACACACATGTTTCTTTTCGATCTAAATGGATATACGGCGTGATCACGTAACTCTGCTACCGTAGTGAAATTCCATGACGAAATTTTGACCGTTTTTTCTTTTCCTAGTTTAAGCAAGTCTCAGAACTGTGCAACATATACAATGATCGAGCAAACTTTTCTGAATCAAATGCAATATGTCCGAATCCTGTGTGATCTTTTGTTTAGAAAATTCAAACAAAATACTACACGCTACTTTTTTAAAATAAAGTTAGAAAAGGATATTCCGTATTTTCTTTGTATTGTCTAAGCAAAAGAGCACATAGAATCCGGATACATTGCATTTGATTCAGAAAAGTTTGCTCGATCATTGTATATGTTGCACAGCTCTGAGACTTGCTTAAACTAGGAAAAGAAAGAAAGGTCAAAATTTCGTCATGGAATTTCACTACGGCACAGTTTCAAATTAGAGCACCAAACTCGCTTTTCGGTAGATTTTTAGAACTTTTTCTAGAAATAACTATTGCCACAAGACTCAGCGTGATCGATTACCTGTAGTCCATCCGTTTTAAAGGCTACCAATAGTCACTGGGTGCCAGCCCTGGGCCTCATAGGAAATCCGACACAACACCGGAGCCGCGGAAAATCAAGGTTTCGCTCGATTCTCATTTTGAAGAGGGCACCTTGGGCTATCAGGCCATAGAGAAAAATCAATACAATCCCATTGAAAAGCTTTTACACGCGGCCCTGTTTTCCAAAGATCTCCTAGAAAATCTGTTTCAGAAAATACTTCTGAAAGCACATTCTGCTTATGAAAACATGCCTCCAAGTCTCCTCTTTCGCATGCTCTCTAGCTGGCTTCTATCAAAAGTTATTCGAAAAACATCCGAGTACTTTCAATTTTGAAATGGATAGTCGTTAATGAAAGGATGATAATGCCTAGTAGATGTAGGACTGACTAATTTAATACACCATTTTAAACAGAATGGCTTGGATAGAATTAGCCGATTATAAAGATTCATTTATAATCGATCAATGGTAAAAAAATTGTTGCTTTGCCATTCTCCAATCACTAATGAAAATTTTTTATTCGAATTTTATTATACGAGTAATCATATAGAACAATCATTTGTGTATAAAATAAAAGAAATCGGGACTCGAAGTATAGAGTTTTGGGCTGACTTATATGTGTTTTACTGAAAACACTAAAGTTCTGAACGAGAACGTTGATTTTTTACGAACGTTCTTTACAAATTTCTGTAGAGAATTGAATGGCAAATCTTTTCCAAAAAACAAAAAACGAACTTAAGGAGAATTAACGAAGGAGAAAATACTAATATCGCCATTTCTTCTCATTAACCATCTACAAAGATAACAATTAAGTCAGGTACGAATGGTGCGAAGATTATTATTTACTATGTTACTCATAGGTTTTTTTATGCTTTAAAATATAAAAAATTGACTTATTTATACTTTTTTTAGACAACTCGTGATTTTGATCGTGAAACACGTCGTGTAGAATGTTTAGAAGACAATGCTAAATCATTAACGCGTAATATTCAAAAACAAGATAAAGCATTTGATGAATTTTCAAAAGGTCAAGTAAAATTAGTTAATGATTTAACATCAAGTGCGTTTATAAATCATTATCAACTAAATCAACAAACTCAACCATCTTCTTCACATGAAATAATGACAAATTGGAAACAGACAAGTCAAAAAATTTATGAACAAACAAATTTAATGAATGAAATGACCACTAAAACAATTACTGAATCATCCAAACGTTTAGTAATGGCTATGAATAATGTTATTAATTCAATAAAAAAACGTGAACAAAGTTTAAATGATTATTTAAAAATACAAAATAAATTAGATAAAATAAATGAAAAAAAAATGACAACAAATAAATTAGAACAAATGCAAAAACAATTGACAGATGCTAAACAACAATATGAATTAAAAAATTCATTATTAACACAAGAATTACCAATTTTACATGAACGACGAGCAGCATTTGTTTATCCTTGTTTTGAAGCATTTATTGAAGCACAAGTACGTTCTTATCTCACTAGTATATTTGATAGAAAAGTTAAAAAAAGTGTACAGATGGTTGTTTCGAATAAATGAGTGTAGAATAACAGTTATGTTTTGTCTAATAAATATATTTAAGATCATATTTTCTTTTAAAATGTGAATAGATATTTTTATTAAGTAAATTAAATGTTGTTATGATATTTAGGCTCATTATTGTGAACAGTTGGAAGATGCGTATAATGGACTTGTTAATATAATGAATGTTGATTCAAATTCTAATTCAATATTAGATGAAATTAATACAAAATTAGCTGGTATTAAAACCTTATCCATTGTTGCTTCAGAATAAACGATATTTTCTAAACAAATCTTGTTTTGTTTTTTTCATTTGATATCTATACTTCTCAGGGAATTGATTGCTTTTAATCAGATATATGTAAATTTACTTCTTTAGTCGTTTTATTGCACTTTATTATATTATTGACATATTCAAGAAATCGATGACTCTTCTTAACTGACGCTCTTAATAGAGTATATGATTAATTATACACTAAATTTATACAAGTTGTGTCTAAAATGATGTCACTGGGGCATACACTTTTATTTGGAAAACATAACAAATTTTATATTTTTTTTTTTGGAAATATTCATTCAGCTTATGGTTAAGAAAGATAATATCCAGTATAAACTTCCTCAATATCCTGATAAAGTAAATAGGGTCACACAAAGAGTGTCTGCTTCGAGTTTTTATCCTAACGGGAAGAAAACGTGCGCACCGATTTATTTCAAATTCTTCATCTAATCCTCAAGGTGGACGATAATTACTTCATTAGTGTGTCAAAATATCGAGTAACGAGAGATTATCTGAATCTGTCCTTCTTCTTTGACTTTAAAAAGAGAAACATCGTCAGCATACAACACGCATAATCTGTCTAATCCATCAGGTAAGTCACTTATGTAGATCAAAAACAATAATGATCCTAAACAGAACCTCTGTGGGACACTCCAAGAAATAGGCAGCTCGGCAGAGGTCTTGCCATCAATTATCGTAACAATCCTTCTGTCACTCAGATAACTTTTCATCCATGAGGGTAGTTGGTCGGATAAATTTTTCAATTTTATTAGTAATTCTTCGTGTCATACACGATCGAAAGCTTTGCTGAAGTCCAGAAAAACTGATAAGACAGATTTTTTGCTATTAAAAGCATTAGTGATTTTATCTACTATCTGGGTTAGTTGATTTACTGTCGAGTGGCGCGGTAAAAAGCCTGTGATTCAAAAACAAAAGATTATGATTAAAAAAGTTGTTTTGATTCAAAAAACATGTTTAAAAATAATTCTTTCAAAAACTTTTGAAGCACTAATTAGCAGAGTAATCGTTCGATAGTTTTCAGGTAGCTGAGCATTATTTGATTTAAAGATAGGACAATATTTAATGATTCAGCTTTTTTATGAGGAGCAGTGTTTTATGGAGTTTGTTGAGATATCAAAAAGGGGAGGAATTGACGGCGAGTTGCCTTTATTTAAGGCGTGTTTCAAAAAGAACCACCATTTTTAGATGAAGTGTTTAAGTTGACTGACTGTTTATCATAATATTGTTTCTTTATCAGACTACACTGCTGCGCAAACTTAGAAGCAATCTTCTCACACCCATTACCATGTACGATATTTTTCTTCGATTTTGATACAATTTATCTCGTTTTTTCAATAGGTGCTTGAGATCATGATTAAACCAAGATGCGTCTCTTGAAGTACTAGAAATCATATTATTCATTTAAGGATCCCCTCCCCGCTCAGAAGTGGTGATTTTCGGTCAAAAAATCGGTTTTGAGATAAGCACATGGAAAGATAGCCTGAAGTGTCTACTTCCAGAATCTGGATTGCTTTTGGTTACAAAACTGTTTTTCGGGGATTTTAAGCAAGTTTTCTAAAAGCAGATCCAAATAATAGTTTTTTCCTGGATACCTATGTAATTAAAATTTTTCTGAACACACAGATTTGTAGAGCAAACGTTTCTGATCAAAATAAGACCTCGCACAACTCTGTTTGACCTTGCATCAAAAAGTTACAGGCATTTTCCTAGAAGTCCTAAAATCGAGCATTTCATACAGCATTTAATACAGCGTTTTCTCTATATAAGAGTTATACCTGAAGTGCGTCCCAAGATTTTTAACAGCGGTTTGACGTAGAGAGTTCATTCTTTTTTTGTTTAAAAGAGGAAAAGAAACTACATGGGCTGACAGGCGCCGATTTTTGAATTAGGTCTTAGTTTTTTGTCAAACTGAGCATTTTTCGAAAATCGGGAAGGCTCTTTCGGGCTTTGGAGGTTGTTGATTGTCTGAGAAACCAATAAAGGCTTACCAAAATTATCATCATACTAATACATCTGACGAATACTACATTTTAAGTTTATTTCATTTGGAAAAGAGTAAAGCAGAACATAGTGTAGAAATGTACGTGAAAAAAGTTAATTTTCGTCAAAAATATCGATTTTGCGATGGTTTTTGAGGGCTTCACAGAGGAAAAGTATGAGAAGAGAACAGAGTTTGGACTGAATGGAGAACGGAGTGCGAATTATTAAATTTTTACACTGTTTAGAAAACGGGACTGAAAAGAGAATGGTATTGAAAGATATTTTTTCACTGTCAGTGTACGGTTCTAAATTAGCATTTTCATACACGCGCTTCTTCATATTTACACATCGATACGTAAACAGTAAAAGAACCATATTCGAAACAAAATAATGCGCAGACAATGGCTATCACTGCCAGTTTGTAATACGGAAAAATACGGTATTAATGGCAACAAATATACACTAAAATGGTCTCAAGATGTTATCAAATATTCAATTCCAATTCCAGGGAATATTTTTGAAACGGTTGTTCCTACGTCACATCCAATAATGAGTATCCAAGAGTGGATTAATTGTTTTGGTAACAATGCATTTTCATCATTCAATCATTTTAAGATATAATATGAATCTGCTCACATAGTTTTGGTTCAACAAAACTTTGATTCGTGCAGATTCTTTTATAAAGAATAAATTTGTAAACACACATGTGTCCAACTTCAGTTGGACTTGTAATTGCTTTTGGCTATCATGTAATTTCAAAAAGTCGTATACCAAAAAAATCGTCGTCGTCGTTAGGACCAAAAAAATCTAGTCCTGCTCTACTTTTTTGAAATATCATATATATTTGTATTTTTACAATATTGTACAATATTTTTTTGCAGGTAATGCAAGACATATATAGATAATAATTTACTATTCGAACATATGACCGTTTTCTTTTCGACTTTTTCGTTTTGTAATTCTGACCGTTCACTAATCACTCTAAATTTGACCATAAATAGGCAACCATTCTCTTTTTAGCCCTAATTCCGTTTTCTAAAAAATCCTTGTACGCTTCAAAGAGGTTTTTCTAAAGCATCCCAAATCTGAAAAAATTATTCTTTTGCAAACTCCACATATATGCAAAAATATATGCCACACATGTCCATTCGATCCCTCATAGGCGATAACTTCTGACGAACTAGCAGCTTTTTATTATGTCGCTTTATGAAGGAGAAAGATTTGGCTTTTAAAGTCAAAACCTGTTTCAGAATGTTCTCAACATGTAGCCAGAACTTGACATTACAATTTAACAGAGACGAATTTTTCGAGGCGTTTTTTTTGTTTAGTTTCCTAAAGCTTTTATAAAAAAACTTAAAACGAAAAGTTTCAACTGGCTTTGCGAAAAATTCCATTTTTCTTGAAAATTAGATTGAATTTCAAAAAAGTCGGCTCTAATAAGTTATTGTACCATGTCCTGGCTACATATTGAGACTGCCCCGAACTTTCTAGCATTCGAAATGACGGAGAAAATTTTGCTGCATAACATCTGTTTTTAACCCTTATTTTCAGGATAATTCTAAAAACTCGACATTTCGAGCTCGAACCTTTAGTATCATCCTTCTAGGACAAAACACATTTTTTATCCTAGAAGGAGAAAATTTTTTTTTATCGAGACCGAATGTTCTGGAACGAAAATAAGTTTCTGACGGGCAGATCCTCAACAGAAGGAAATTTAGAGGAGAAAAAGACTTGACCATAGATGTACCATGTATTGTTGTTGTTGGTACAAAAACAACATGTATTAAATCAGAAACAGAATAGAAACCCAGCTGATAGTAGCTTTTTGACTGTATGAATAGTAAAATCATCTGTAAGATCAGATTCGTGAGAGAGAGAGAGAGAAAGAGAGAGAAGAAACATTTTTCAGTTGTCGAAGAATGCAGTTGATAGTTATGGATGACCGTATTTTGTTCATTGTATGTCGAAGATCATCAGTAAATAGCGATTTTATTTTATTTCAGAGAAGAAAGATAAGAATGTCATACATTTTTGCAATATCATTCCTTCATATTTTTCAAGCCGATATCATGGTTTCTATTTGATGTAAACTTTAAACAATAAACGCACAGCAAGTGAAATAGTGATTTTTTATAACTCAATAAATACAGTAGAAATAACGTGATTGAGCTTTGCTCCATCCAACGCCAGTAATATTCATGTACTCAATAAAAGACAGAAAACATTCTCGTTCTAATCCATCGACAGATGTTTTATGAATACGGGTAATTTCTCATTGGTGGAGGACCTCGAGGACCTCCTCGTTGCATGAACATCATTTGGGCATGTCGATTAGGTGGTGGTGGTGGTCGCATCATCATTCTCTGGTTGTACATCATTTGGGCTTGTTGGTTAGGTGGTGGTGGTCGCATCATCATTCTCTGGTTGTACATCATATGTCCAGGTGGAACTTGATTATAGTATCCTTGCGGTGGCTCTTGATATTGTTCCGGCATGGAATCATGGAGTCCAGTCGATCTCGTTAGTGTAGGTGATGGCATTATCGGCTTTTGTAAAGGAATCTCACCTTTCTGTATACGATCAAATTCTATTGAACTAGCTAAACCATATTTAATAAAGAGTACTTCATAAATGAAACTGGTAATGACAAGTACGGCACCGAGTACTGTTTCGCCAATATAATATGGTTTTACTGGTGAAAATGTATAAGATAAATAATTACAACCACCAACGATAATGCACAAACTTTGATTTACTAAATAGAGGACATTAAATGCTATCATGCCAACAGACGCAATACCACCCAAAACATTAAAAACGGAGCCTATTTTTAATTTATGCCACGTTACTTTTTGAGCTACAATTAAATAACATAATGAAGACTTTCAAAAACAGAATAAGTATAAAATACTTGACTTACACGAGTAAAGAGTACTGACGGCTGCAGCAAATGCAAAAACGCCGCCCCAACAACCGGCAAATATTTGCCAACGAGGAGCATACATCAAGATAATCGGTAAATCCACTGCAATAATTGCTAGACCAAGTAATAATTGAAGTATTCCCAATAAAGTTAAAATTCTTCTTGGCCATACTACTTTCAATCGTTTAATCATAAATTGTTCTCGTGTATCCTTCAGTTCCTTCAGTACTCGAACATGTTCTTCCGGATCGACCACTGGAGGATGAGTCGGATGCACATGCATTTTTAATGTAATACGTCTTATGTGAGATGCAATAAATATGATAATGAATTTGTAAAACTTAATACATCCGTAAACTCGCTATTTTATCGACGTTGTGCTTAAAGCTGCTTTTGTTATCGAAAACGTGTTCAGTAATAAAACAAAATGAAAGAGTTTTTTAAGTGGTTGCATGTTTTTGGAATACAAAAAGTGAATTATTTACAAATAAACATAAAACATTCTTCTTTTATTGTATTAGTAGTATAAGTGACGTTTAGAAAATAATGGGGATGTTGTTTGCATTAAAACATATGCACATTTAATAACGACATATCCTAATTTAAGGAACAAGAGAAGTTCAGTTATGACTTTTCGTTCTCTCTAACCTCTAACGATCAATTTTAGTTGGAAAGTATTATTCTGACCATTGCGTGTATGTAAATTTTGAAATGATCAACAGACTTGATATCTTCAATCACACATTGGAATTTTTTTATTTTTGAGATGGTATTGAGTAAAATGTCGACTGCAAGCAACCTTAAACAAGCAATTGCTTAGTAAAGCACTTGGAAAAATTCACAAGTATTTTCAAAACTACTTAACTTACTTATCATAAACTTTTACTAATGCCTTTTCAAAACGGCAATCCGTAGTTTTATTTCAACGAAGTATTTTGTAAAAGAACTTGCAGTTTTACTGTATAAATTCAAGTACTTGTCATGAGAGAAAAGTACTTATAAGTAAAGGGAAAAAACGACAAGCGTCGACTTTATTATGCAAGCGGAGTACATAGGCCCAAGTTCATTTACTACGGCGTGCATAAAATGATCGAGATGTAAGATGTTTTATTGCTCGTAGTTGTTTTCAGTTACGCAAAGTCACTTTGGACCATTCTGCTGAGGGTTTTAGCTAAGTGGTGCTAGCATAAGCAGTAGCCGCAACATCTCAGCGGACATCTCAGTATAATAATAGTATATCATCTAATCAATAAGATTATTTTGATTCAACGCTGATCGATAATACACATATCCAGTAGAATTAATTATTCTCTACCATTATCACTATTAGCCATAACAAAGTTTTCATTCTCAAATAAATTGACAGCACGACTATCACAGCTTGATTTCCATCGATTTGAATCCATAAAAAATATAACAGCAATGAATATATAACTGCTGAGGCAGTGCTTATACATTATTAGATTTAACTAGAAATTGTACACAATATAATGCAACAGCATCGGTTCGTTACACCAAGTGTATTATTAGAATTTATTCAGTCTGACTAAATTCAATGTAATCTATTTGTTCCATAGAACAAAAAACTCTTTTATTATTTATATGAACTCATGTTACATTCGTTATTTTTTAACTTCAAATATGATTGATTATCGCTTAAATAATACCTTACAAACTTAGCATAGTTTCTTGAGCATCGTGCAATAGTTGTACAATTCTCTTTTTTACTCCACAGTTTTGCTATTTTTCATGGAAAAAATAAGGATTTCTTTACAATTATAGAGAAAGACATTTTATATCATTTTGTCTACAAAACTTTGTTGCACAACTGCCTCCTTCATTTCATATCAGAATTTCCAAATGACTCTGATTTTCCACATATTTTCTGTTTTTCAGCCAGTAACGGTCTATTTCTGTAGTTCATCTGAAATAATTACAATGATCTTCGAAAATCATCGTATTTCTTTATAACTAAAATTGAGGTAAGTTAAAGAATATATAAGAGAAATTCCGACTGATCCTAGACAAATGACATCTCTATCTATTCATACAAAAAACCTACTACATCATTAAAAAAATGAGTTCTTCATAAAACAAAAATATGTTTCAAATAAAGAACTAAAATGAGTTCGTCGAAAACATGTCAAGCTGAATTCTTCATGTTATGACAGAGTTCAAAATGAGTTCTTCAATATTTTAATTCTTTATATGGGACATTTGATCACTAAAGAACTCAAACTGAAGAGCTCATTTTAACTTATTCATCTTTTTTGTAGAACAAAAAATGAATTCTATGTTTTTCAGTTTTTTTTGCTCTTTAAAGAAAATGAATTCTATGTTTTTCAGTTTTTTTTGCTCTTTAAAGAAAATGAATTCTATGTTTTTCAGATTTTTTTGCTCTTTAAAGAACTATCTTTTGTTCTTCAAGTGAGCTTTCTGTGATAGGTAATGAACAAATGTGTACTTCGGTGTCCGGAGCCAAATATAGCTGTAATATGAGCATTTTGCTTTTTCTGCGCGATGTTCGACAACGATTATAGCTCTTATTTCTAGTTTATCGATAAAATAAACTAAAAGGTTATGTATCCCTACAGTAAATTGAGATCCTAACAGAAGTAGACAAAAACGCATATTTAGGCATGCACCGAGTAATTAACTAAGGATTTTATATTTTTTTCAAAACCTGGCGTTTCGTAAATTCCTTCGTTAAAAATTTGACTCGATAAGAATGTAAAGTAAATATTTCTCTAAAAAATGAGAGGTAAGACGGCTCTGTACGATTTGTTTTGAGATTTTGGCAGCGATGTCTCCATAAGGGACTAATCGAGTACTCGTTTACTGTTCGATTATATGTTCTTGACGTATCGCTGCCAAAACCTCAAAACAAATCGTACAGAGCTGTCTAACCTCTCATTTTTTAGAGAAATGTTTACTTTACATTCTTATCGAGTCAAATTTTTAACAAAGCAATTTACGAAAAGCCAGGTTTTGGAAAAAATATAAAATCCTTAGTTAATTACTCAGTGCGTGCCTACGCATATTACGTTTGTAGGTCATATAAAAAATTTTGGTTTCATTTTGATTCAAAATGAAAAACAAACACTTTGTTTTTTCTTATTTGCAACCGAAAACTGTAAGAAAAAGTGACACGATGACAATTCAAACTTGAAAAACTTTGGCAGATGTAAGCAATCAGCTAAATCATCTCGAAATATCTCTTCCCATATTGGAGTTTAAGTTGCTATAAGAAGCACTCCTTTTCCGCTTAAACGACTATAAAAGACCAATAGACTTAAAAAGCCAAAAATTTCGATGATCATATTCGAGAAGACGTTTTTATAGGGGAAAATGGCTAACTCTTACTAAACTTTATTACCAATGAACTCCTTTGTACTAAAGTATGTTTTATCACGAGTCGATAACGATAAATTTATTTATACATTGCGGTACACTTATTTATTCTTCACAAAAATATTTCTGTTTCTGTAACTGAACATCAAATCAGTATTCTCATAGAGCTTATGTGATTTGAGACCGTATTTCGACGCTTTTAGAAATTCTGGATTTTCTAACATCCTTCGTACAATTTGTTTGATCAGTACACAAAAGAAAATGCCTCCGTCGGGTGAAAGAACCTCAACAGGTTTGATTGAATTAAACTTTTCTTCACAGATTTTTGCGAAAGTGTACTCATTTGAACGTTGTGTGACAGAAACAAATGCTGAACTTCAGGCTTTCCTCTGGAAGTATCACATACATGAAGGATTGGCTCAACTATCGTCTCAAATGCGTCTTCTAATGAACTATTAACTAACTGAGTAGTTTTACAACTGAAGATTGCTTGTTCCCTTAATTTCAATAAAAGTTGAGGATTAAGATTGTGCAATTCATGCGAGGCCCGCGAGTTTTCAGAAACAATAATGTCCTCTTCACTAGATGCACCATCAGTAATAAACGGAGGCAAATGAAGTAAATTATTATCAAATAGGTTTAAAATTTTATGAGATTTTTTCTGATATCTCGAGCTCGTGTTTTCGAAAATTCATGTTTTTTCCACGTCTCATGAGTCACAAAATATGTGCCATCTATATAAATTGATCAGCTGATTTTGAAAGCAGGACTACAACTGTGCATTTGATACACATGTATACAGAAACTGTTTTTAACTTCACTGCTGACAGGATGCATTGGACACGAATATACAGAAGACCTATAATGGTACAATCTCAGGTTACTGTATGTCAGAGGAGAAGAAATAAATAAGCGAATTGAAAGTGACAAAAATCATGTAGATGAAATAAAATACTGCTCATACAAATAAATATATTCTCGACTTTAACCTCTTTTTTTCTACTTTTCCTATGCATTTAAAAGAGAAAATCGAATCAAAACAAGGAAACTAGTTTAAAACATAAACAAAATAAATATGTAATAAGAAGCGCGCTCACTAACAAATTTTGCTTGATATGGCGATAAATTAATTTTTTCAAGAAATGCAATTATGTCTGCTTGTGAATAAGTTCTTAAAGTGACCATGTTTTATCTAAAAGATTTAGACAGAAACATCGATATTATGGGGCGTGTTTATAGGGATGTTTCTTGGAGCAAAACAGAGAACCAGGCATTATTAGTATTTTCATTGCAAAAAACAACAACAACATCATTGAGTTTTATTTATATAACTGCTTAGCGTAAAGCTGTCAAGCGATGGAATGAATGTTCATCATATAAATCTGAATTCATAGTTTCAAATTTATATAGTTTCATAGTCAGCCAAAACCAGTACACACAACTCTTCGCTTTGAGCATACTCTAAAAAAGATTCTTCAGTTTTTCAAAAAACCGAAAAATGAATGGGAATTATGTTCTTCATTTGTCCCAAATAGAGAACTCAAAATTTTTGTTTTTCAGTTTTTCAAAAATTGATTTTTTTCGTTCTTTGAAAAACTGAAGAACATCTTTTTTTAGAGTCACGAAAATAAGAGATATTTACGGTATATGAACATTAACATGTTATTAACAGTTCACTCTCTCCGTTCGCTTTTTACATACGTTGTTTTCTTTTGTAAAAGTTTCAGATTCAATCTCATTATTACAAGTGTAAACATCTAGCCCAACTTTACGAGACATCATACTACAAAACTATATAGGCACTTTATGACTGTAGAAACAGAGGGTCAAATTACTCCACAAAGCATATTTGATCTAACGTGTAGGTTAGAAACGGCCTTGTGTATGCTGAGTCACAGAATTAATTCGTTCAACTTTATCTTTGCTTTTCCT